CTTTGGGAGGCTGAAGCAGGTGGACTGATGTGGGCGGCAAGCCACCGAGGCACCGAGGCAACAGACCGAGGGCACGAGCTGTTCCAGTGTAATAAAATATATAAAATAACAAGCGTTATGCTAGATCTAGATCATAGATATGATTATGTATGAATATCATTAATCATTAGTTGGTAGCAATTACTCTTTACTCCAATATTATAATAATCCTCGCTCTACAATCATAACCTAGGAAAAACCAGGCCATACAGAGATGGGAGCTGAGGGGACATAGTGAGAAGTGACCAGAAGACAAGTGTGAGCCTCTGTGATGCCTGGGCAGGGCCACCAGAGGGCTCCTTGGTCTAGTGGTAACGCCAGCATCTGGGAAGATGCCCGTTGCCAAGCGGACTGGGGTCTAGCGGTAGCGTCGGTGCCAAGGAAAAACACCCACTACTTAGCAGACCGGGAAAGGGAGTCTCCCTGTCCCCGGGGCAGTTCAGAGAAGACTCTACTCCTCCACCACTTGTGGAGGGTCTGACATCAGCCAGGCCTGCCCACAGTTATCCAGAGGCCTAACGGTCTCCCTGTGATGCTGTGCTTCAGTGGTCACGGTCCTACTCCATTTTCATGTTCCATCCTGTGCACCTGGCTCTGCCTTTTAGATAGCAGTAGTAAAATTAGTGAAAGTATTAAAGTCTTTGATATTTCTGAAAAGAGCATAGAAGAAATAAGGACGTAAGCTGTCCTCTCTCTCTCTGCCTCAGCTACCTAAAAGGGAAGGGCCCCCATCCAGTGGACATGTGACTCACATGACCTTATCAATCATTAGAGATGGCTCACACTCTTTACCCTGCCCCCTTTTGCCTTGTATCCAATAAATAACAGCGCAGCCAGGCATTTGGGGCCACTACTGGTCTCCGTGTCTTGGTGGTAGTGGTCCCCTGGGCCCAGCTTGTCTCTTTGTCTTGTGTCTTTATTTCTACAATCTCTTATCTCTGCACACAGGGAGAAAAACCCACTGACCCTGTGGGGCTGGACCCTACAGACTGCTTGAGTCTAGGAGTTTGAGACCAGCCTGGGCAACACGGTGAAACTCCATCTCTACAAAAATAAACATTAGCCAGACATGGTGGCACATGCCTGTAATCCCAGCTACTTTGGAGGCTGAGGCAGGAGGATCGTTTGAGCCCGGGAAGCAGAGGTTGCAGTGAGTCAAGATTGCATCATTACACTCTAGCCTGAGCAAGACTTTGTTTAAAAAAAAAAAAAAAAACAGTCTGCAAAAAGTTCTCCAGTACACCAAAATATGGATCAAAATTAAGACTCTGAAGCCAGTGGCAGCGCTCACTTCTGTAGTCCCAGTAGCTTGGGAGGCTGAGGCTGAGGGATCCCTGGACTACAGGAGGTCAAGACTGCAGTGACATGTGATTGGGCCGCTGCACTCCAGCCTGGGCAACACAGTGAGACCATCCCAAAATAAATGTATATATACGTGAATTCCGGATGGAAACTTCAAGCTCACTTGAGCTGGTGATGGTGGAAAATGAGCCCAGGCGGGGCTGCTCCAGGGAGCTCCAGGTGCAGGAAACCAAAGCGCTTTGTCCGGTGCCATTTACTATCCCAAGAGGAACCTCACCCAATACATTGTGGAAGTTCTGCATTCAAGGAAGACAACAGCTCCTGATACTTTAATGTAATTCTGGAAAGCAAGTAGGCATGATTGTACGTAATAAAACAGCATGATCATTTGATACCCAACCGCCGCTCACCTGAGCAGAGGACGCCGGCGTCCTCCTTGTGGCTGCAGTCGTGCTGGCCCCAGCCCGCCGACGGGCACTGCCACAGCGCAGATTCGTGGCCCTTTGGCAGCCCAGCTCATCCAGCCCAGATGCGCCCTGCCCCGCTCCGAAGTGTGCGGCCCAGGGCGCTCAGGGCGCGGCCACAGCCAGCTGCCTCAGACCACGTCGCGTCCTGCAGGTCCCAGGCGTCGTCACACACGGTGCCCCACGCGCCCCCGCGCAGCACCTCCCGCGCCCCGCACAGCGCCCCGGGCGCGGCCAGCCGCACGACCCGAGGCTCCTGTGGAGAGACAGAGTCAGGGCGCCCAGGACCCCGCGGCGACGGGCCATCGGGGATGCGGTTCTGCCCTCACCAGAGCACACCACGCCGGCGTCCGCGAGGTTCCCCGCGGCTCCTGCAGGTCGCGGACACGTTGCACTGAGTCAGGCGGGTCTCGGTGCCCCGACAGCGCGCGCGGCTCAGCGACACCTGGACGGACCGCGCCTGGGGCAGGTGCGTCATAGGCTTGTTCGCCGCTCCGCACCGAGCTGCGGCACACACGTCCGCGCCGCGCAGGTCCCAGGCATCGTCCAGGACGCGGCCCCACACGCTCCAGGGAGACCTCCACGCGGCCATCACAGCGGCTCTGTCCTTCCCTCAGCCGCACGGCGTGGGCAGCCACTGGGGATGGGACGCACAGGGGACCAGGGGTGTCAGCGGGCAGGACCCGGAACCACCCACAAGCAGAGGCCCCTCCCCCTCCCTCCGCCCCCCCTCTTGTCCATGCCCCTCTTCACCGAGCCACCCCTCCTCCCTCCTCACCGTCCCTGGCCCTGCCCCACCCACCTGAACAAAGACTGCGGCGGGGGAAAGGGCCCCCCTGGGAGTTTTCCCG